CTAATTGTTTTAGGTACTATATTTTTTTCAAGTGAAATATATCTGGAAAACAAGTAATATGTAGTAAAAATCTGTTTCCCTTATAATTAGGTGAAGATATGAAGTTTTTCAATCCATGTGTACCTATCTGATATTTTGTCATTTGAATTCCCAATTATTCAACTGTAAGTTTAAATTTCAGTTACCTATTCTTCTTCTCCTTTCAGGGTAGGAATAAGATATTTCTAAATATTCTCCCAAGAATCTACCATTTACTTCATCAGTAGATTTCAAATGCCTGAATATTCATTAAAAATGTACATTCTTTCAACAAAACTTCACTAAATTTGATGATTTCCAGTATTGAAATAGCATCATGGACATACTGTATGGTATTTTGAAGAAGGTTGAAATAGGAATTTAATCAAGTTTTTTTTTATGGACACTCAGTGATACATGAAAACATGAATATTTCTCTCAATGATCAACACTTACCTAATTCATTGACCAAGCACATTGGTGTTTTTTCTTTTATGTTTGCCAGAGTAGCGTTGGGCGTAGACAAAGTATTAGTGTTTGGACAATTCTGGTGTTCAGCATTATGGTCTGCATCAATCTGTTGGCCAGAGTTCTCATAGTGATAGACTTGTTGCATGTTCTGCTTTGGTGGTTGTGGCATTGAAGTTGTTGTTATCAGGGTGGGTCCAGGAGACATAGACACTAGAACACCTTTGAAGTGGGACAAATAAAAAAAACATGACATTGCAATGAAAAACATATTTCTTTATTGAAATGTCAGTGCTACTGATGAATCAATCTATCTGCATGGATGATATTTTCAGAAGTCCTCAAAAAGTGACATCCTGGCCTGAAATTCTAAAAAAGTTTGTTTGGTTGATTATACCATAGATTATCATACTATATATTAACCAATCAAGGCTCACCCAGATTGAAAATGATAGTGCAGTTTTAGGAATTAGTTATAAAGAAACAAGAAGAAAGGTTGTTTGATACTCATACCCCTATCAACTTTTTTACTCATTGAATATAAAAGAAAAAACATTTCAGTAGTGGACAAAATTACAATTAATGGCACAATAAAAAATCTAAAAATAGATTTCATGTTTGAGCAGGCAGCAGTAAAATGAAAATGTTGGTATCTCAATTTTGTAAGAACAATCATGACAAGAAAATACCTGAGAATGTCTGTTGACATAAACATGTTTGCTGAATAAATAGAAGAACCTGGAATTTAAATCATGTAGATGTAGTGACTTATATTAACATGAAACAGTCCAAATTTGAATGGATGGAATTGAAAGTTGAAAAGCAACTGATACTGCAGTATTATGTAAAAAGGTACATTTTCATATCAGTTAAAATGTTTGTGGTCCTCCTTTTCCTTTTTTTTTAAACCAATGGACTGACCTGTAGCTGGCATACTCATCAACATCGGTGTTCTTTGATTCGGGGGTGGTCCCATTTGCTGCATTCCCATTCTACAAAAGTCAAATGGGTTTAAAGCTCCATAAAAATTCTATCCTATAGGTAGATCGGTATCTATAATCAGTGTAAAATTGGATGATGGAAAATGTTCAACTGACCTGGCATTCCTAGGCATTCCATTTTGCGACATGTGATGGTGTTCTTGTAACATTTTCAACGGAAATTATGAAAAAATAGAAAAATTTATTATATTGACAATCTCTACCTCGATTGGGAGGAGTAGATCAACAAGACGAAGACCGGTAGAATTATATCATGAAATCGGACGCTGTGGCTTGTCTCTACCGTTCTCTGCTTGACGAAAACCGCTTATTCAGCCTATTTTACAAACAAACACCACTACTAAATCTTTTACATACGTTGGCAAACAATAAAGAAAAATCAGTAACTATCATGCGGCCATGTTAGATTTGTTAGAAGGTGTAAATGGTGGATCGTGATTCGTGATTGTTCGTGGATCACATCAATTTAAAGGGTGACATAAAACAGGCGACATACAAGAACTTCATGTTCTGTCGCTCAAGATGTTGGTGTTCGAATTTTCTTTGAAATGGCATTTATCAGAATTTCATCAAACACTGTCAAAAATGAACCTACTTACAACATTTCTGTATTTTTTGTCGTAGTATAAGTGATTTGATTAGTGAACTTTATGTGTCGTCAGTTTTTGACCAATGTAACATTGATGAAATAAACTTGGTGCGCTCACTCTTCATTTGTTTCTCTTGATATAAACAATTGAATTTCAGACGATGACGTGGGGTTCTCATATTGAATGTTAGATGGCGTGATTCCTAGAACTTATGATCAACATCAACTCTACCAACCGTACTGTACTGGGTGATTGATTATATTTAACTCAACAGCTATCTCAGTTAATTCGTCCTACAGAAACGTTCAAATGTGAAAATTTGAGTATTTTTTATGAGCATTCAGAATCGTTGACCTAAAAGTTTCACATGAACTGGCATTGTTCAAGTGGAATACCCTGCATTTTACTTTTCTAAACGGTATAATTCTTTCTTCTGATTTCAAATACTATTCTTTATTGAGGTAATCTTTCCCAGATTTCGAAAAATATAGATTCTAGGACAGGCCTGTTCGTTTGTATTGATGAACTTGCTCAAGTTGATTTTTTCCCATAGGTCTCTGTTTGTGGCATTATTGTAAACAGAGAGTCATAGAACAAAATCGAGTTCACCAGGTAGAGCAAGCACAAAGGAACCAGAACTTGAGGTAGGCATTGTAGTCTGGCGTTCAACAACTGCACCATCTATACCAACAAATCTATTTTTAAAGAACTGACAAAAGATAACCTCAATAAAATAGATATATTTGAAATCAGAACAAGGCTCTACCGATTAGAAAAATAAAATACAGGGTGTTTCATTCAAAAAATACCAGTTCATGTAAATTTGTGCGTTTACGTTGATTTTTTTGCATTTTCTAGAACTAGATTCTGGATGCACATAAAAAATACTTCACTTTTGCCCAATTGAACGTTTCTGTAGGACCAATTATTAACTGAGAAAGCTGCTGAGTAAAATATTAACAATCACCCTGTACTGTTACGTTACCATACCAGATGCCTCACCTAGTCACCTGTACTATAAACGACAACCATGACTTTCGGATCATGCTTTCGGTAGGGTAGGAGAAATCTTATCAACAAGTCTTCTCAACCAATGAAATAATGGACATAATTTCTATAAATATGTATTTTCCTATAACTCAATTTTACATTTTTGAAAGGCTGATCAATTCAAAAAATTGATCATGAAATAAAAATTAATTCAAATTACTCATTCTCCATTCACAACTCCAACAGTCATTTGGATACCTACACTGGTTTTGGGCTAGGTTAGATGAACAAATTAATTGTTGTAAATAAGATGAATCATGTAATCTTAATTCAATCACAATTTCAAAAATCATTAATTGTGTTTTCTTGGATCAATACAAAATTACATCATGAATAATTCCATGAAATAGTGGCGATATGCTGAAGAGAACTGTACATTCCAAAATTGAATAGTAATAAGGAATGATTTGGTATACCAACAAATATTTCACATTTCCACATTCACTGGGATACTTCTATTGATGGATAAGCCTCCACTTTATTATTTAGATTTTCAACATATTTGGAGAGTTTAAATAATAAAGAGGGGGTTTCATTTACAAAACTGCCCCTCTGCAGGATATAACTCGTATTTTCATCAGTTCTTGTTGAGCTGAAAATATAAGATGTATTGAGATTTTAGAAAAATATTTCAAAATAAAATGATAATTACTGAAAAATCATCAGATAAGAAAATAAAATTAAACTATTCAATATGATGCAGTTACATAAATAACAAATTAGAATTCAGATAGGGTCTGAAATTATCAATTATTTTGAAAATAATCTAATTTTCCATTTTCTTTTCAACACAACAGTCCTGGAGACAAATACCAATTAATTGAAAATAAAAAATAATTCATAGTTACTAAATTGAAATCACTGAAGTTATCAATATATCAGTGAATGTGATTATATTATTAAAAAATATATGTACTACCCAAGTCCTAAATATATTACAATTTTGGGATGAAAATCAGCTCTCATCTATCTTGAATTGTAAAAAAAAAACTTAAGTGGACTCTCCATCCGGTCCATCCTTTCAAATTCTACATATCTTTTGTAATACGATAATTTTGGTTAACAAGATCAATAAAACATAAATGTAAATCAAATAAAAATTTGAATATTTTGCCAAAACTACAGAAAATTTGTAGGGCTGAATGTCGCCAAATAAAAAGGTTACCATAATGTGAAGGGTGTAAAAATCCCAGTCAATGAATGACTAGTGACAAAAAAATTAATGCAAATAGAATAACATTGTGAATCAATATGGATTTCAAAAAGGAACAATCCAAGCCTAATGAGAAAACTTCAATGTTTTCAAATTCAATATAAAACAGATAAGTGACAAAAAAAACAACTGAATCACCTCTTTGATTGATTTGATGTGACTTCTAAAAACAGTAGGCCTAAAAATTCATAATCATGTGGGCCTACAACATTTTCACCACATCTTAACATTTATATTTTCAAATTCATCATGAGAGTCTAGCAGAAGGTCTTTGCACAAAAGTTGGAACTATCAAATAGTTGTTGGATGCATAAAAAATAGGTTATCAGCTATTTTGGTGAAAGGGAAACAGGATAGGTTTGTTCTCCTTTGAAAAATAAACAGTCTGAAACCATCAGAAGCATGCGCAGTTCCACGGAACATGAAAAATACCAACAGTTCTGTGAAACTGCATGCTCCTGATGGTTTTGGACTGTTTATTTTTCGAACAAGAACAAACCTTATTTTGGTTTGACTGTTTTTTACGTCACTGGCTGCCTACCATCAAAATGTCTGAAACCTTCAATAACTATACCTTTGTCATATTTATGGAGGCGAATGATATCAATACTAATTTTGTTCTTACAACTAAGAATATCCATTTACATTTCACACACATTTTTAAATGTGGTGGTGTGGTGGCGCTTGTGGTGAAGCCACTGCAGAAGCCTGAGGAGATGGAGGGGTAGGGGTAGTACTAGGTCCGGTATCAGCAGATGGTGCAGAATGCGGTACAGGTGCTTGTTGAGCTGGCCACTGCCCTTGGTCAGCTTGCAGCCTTTGGTGGGCTTGCTGTCTTGCTCTGAACTCCGCTGCTTTCAGTTGCTCCAGGTGGAACTGCTGTCTCTCTGTGATGAGCTGCTGCCTCTGATACTCCAGGCCTTCCCTTTCACGCTCCATAGTTGTTTCCAGCTCTTCAAAGTGCCTCAGCTTGATCTCAAGCTTCTTCATCTGTGTTTCTACCAGTAAAGCTACCAGAGACTTGATTTTTCTTTCCTCCACTGCAGCTAAGTGCTTGGCTTTGACAGCTGCCGCAGCTAGGGCGGCTGCAGCTGCACTCTGCATCTCACTATCCTTGATACCTTTCTCCAATTTTGGCTCTGATAAATCCATCTTCTCCTCCTTGTCACTATCAGGAGTCTCTGTTTTTACCTTCTCACAAGGTTTTTCATCTTGACCTTCACCGTTTTTATTTTCCTCTGCTGGCTTATCTTCCTCTTTCACATCTTCCTTCTTAATCTTCTCATCTTCCTCTTTGTCTGGTACAGTTCCTGCAATACCAGTCATAGCTAGCCCAGCTGCTGGGTCAAATTTACCGTCAGCACTTGAAGCTTCAACATTCTTCAGATGAGCATCCATAACTGAAGCTGGGACCTCATCCTTGATGGTAGAGAACTCATTCATGGCTGATTTGGCAGCAGCTGCAGCCACCCTTGGATCCACAATTGAAGCCAAGAATGCTACAGTGGACATGATGGGGTTGCCTGCTTTGCTGAATGGTATTGGTTGGTAGGCCAATGGTCCAAGAGCACCCCCAGCCTCTGGATCTTCCAGGTACGGATCTTCAATCGGCAAACGAAGGAAGTGTAGTATGCATTCATCTTGAGTACGAGAACCTACATGCTCACATACTTTGTTCCAGTCATCTTTGTACATTTCCAAGCCTTCCAGGAGGAGCAGAGTTTCTTGCTCTGTCCAATCTCTTGTCAAAGAAGCTGCACTCTTGTTGCGAAGAACTGCAGGTTTCTTGGCATATTGATCTAGTTTCAGTCCAAAACTGGATATCTCTGTGGCCCCTTCAGCCTTTTTGATGTCCAGGGTTTTGTCAAGATCTAAGAGAGTTTTTGCTGCACTAGGCTGAGGTGTTTTGGGGGGATTAACTGGCTGTAATCCTGAAGGTGTATCTGATAATATATGGAAATGTGAAGTGGGAGGAGGACCCATTGCAGTAGGTCTAGAATCTGTGTCTACTTGGTAGTTTATAAGGCCCCACTGTTCTAGAAATGCATGCACTCTCATGATAGCACAAACGTCGCCGGCCAAATTTCGTCTGCAAGCTGTACTAGTTATGTATTCTGTTGGGTTCAAGCGATAGGTGTCTACCATGAAATTTCTGAAAGTTTGCAAAATTCCACAATTCTTAATTTACTCACATAATGAAAACATATTGTAAAAGGAAAATTTTAGAGTGAGAGTGTATCATCAGAATATTGGGAACATAATATCTTAGATTTTTAATTTTTTTGATGTTGAGAGTGGTATTTTATGGGGAAAGTTGGAAATTAATTGCTACAGTTAAAGTTGGGGGAATGCTGATAGATTTGATTAGCATTATATATTTATGATATTCAATCTCCTGACAATAGGAATGTAAATCAAATAAAAAAATAATGAGGAAAGAAAAATTCACAATACTTCAAACTAACCTGTAAGCCAAATAAATTTCTGGTGTCTTGGATTTATTCCTTCCATTGAAAAACTCAGGCATGGCCCTTTTTTCAATCTCATGTATGGAATTATAGTCAAACCAAGCTGAATATGAAGGTATTATAATATGATGGGTCTGCTCTGTAACATTATCTTCCTGTCCATCATCCTGAGTGTTTGTATCACTATTTTTACCAGTCTGAGAATCTTCTCCCCTCTCTTCACTTTCTTCCAGGTCTGTTATTGAACCACCTTTGAGTGGTACAAGTTCATGGTCTTTCTTAACTGGTTGGCTATTGGTTTGTACAGCAGGACTCACTTCCACAATGTTTGGTTCTGGAACAGGGTCTTCCATATCTTTTGTAAGGTCTTCAGATTCAGGATCTTCTGGTCTTGTTTTCTTTCCTACTGCAGGACTCCTACCACTTTTTCTTTTGCCAACTTTTGAAGAAGGAGGTGAAGGAGATCTTTTCCTCTTATTTTTGTTCTTTTTGTTTCTATCTTCAGATGGGTTCATCAGATCTTCTACAGACATGAGCCTTGGATGTACTTTCTTGATGCCATTTTCATCAACTTCATAGTCTTCTTCAGACATCCATTCATTGTACTGATCTGTATCATAAATCCAGGTGTATGTCACTCTCCAAGGGCCTGAGTGTGGGCTTGGGTTACTGTCAATTGAAACACTATCTAATCCAGCAGATTCAAGATTTACCCAAGTATCAAAGGAATTTGGAAAGTAATACCAGTGCATCATTACCATTTTGTCACGTTTAATAACTGGTCTACCATATTCTTCTTTCAGAGGATCTACAGAGCCATGTATAATATGAGTTGCTGTGTCTTCTGTTTCAACTACTTGACCATTCCTCCTTCGCATGATTTCCTTAATTTTTTGTGTGACCGCTTTATCTATGTCAGATTTTATGTATACTATGGGCAGGATGTACAGTTTTGCACTTATCAGGGCTTTCTCCATGTTTTGGAACATTTCATAGACTCTTTCAAGCTTGGACACATTCTAGAATAAAAACCAAATGAAGACACTGAATTAACTACCTACTTAAAATTGTACCTTGCCAGATGGTAATTCGAATCTTCTCCAGCCATGTTCACTTTTGAATTTATAGGCAGCTAGTAAAATGTGACATAAACCTCCACCAGGTTTGAAATCAATAAAATGTCTAACCTACAATAATAATTTTTCACATTGTGGTTTCTGATATACTTTTAGAAACTGATTACTCACTGGTATTCTTGTCAATGGTGGTTTCTGTACATTTTTGCCCAAGAAATCTTCTTGAAACTGCATGAGTTGAACAGTTGTTGTAGATATGGTTTTGTTCGTCAGTTGCTCATTTTGTACATACTGAAAAACAGAGTCATAACTACCAAATTGCATAGTTGTTGCAAAGTTATTGTGCCACTCATCTGTGTTGACAATATCATCAGTTTTTGTGCAGTCTTACCTTTTTCCCATTTTTCTGTAGCCACTGTTTCACTACTTCTATGGCAGTGAGCGTTTCGGGGGACTCAAAGTATTTTACATTCGGTCCCCCATCCATTTTTGGCCCTATAGACAACATCTTGAAACGGGAAGTACGCGGTTGCAGAAGCCGACGATTCACACAAACAATTCAATTATTTCCCACTATTATTGAATACTTTGAGATTGCGGTATGGCTGAATGAGAACAAATCATGACAATTACATTCAAGTAACCATTTAACAATGAAATAACTTTTAGTTAGTGCTTTTAACAATATTTTTGCTTCACTACAAAACTTCAATTACAAGCCGCCTCCGCCATATTTTGTTTCACCATACTGGTACTGGTTCTGTCTAATAGTCCGAGAGCCTGCCTCGTTAAATCGTATGGATATGTTATGGTTAAAGCTCCGCAGGCAGCATTCTTTATGAAAAATCGCGTAAAGAAATTTCATGCTACCTACATGATGCAGAATGTCGTTCTCAATGAAATGGAATAGGGTGTTTAGTATGTATACCAGGTACCATATCGCGAGTAGTAAAGCACAGATCGCAAAGGTAATATTTTTCAAGATATATACCTACATGTTATGAAAGTTTCCTATTTAAAACTTAAGGTTTTGTTTTGATATTCATTTGTAAATTGAAATTTTTCAGCTCCTTCCAGAACTGAATGTATACAATAATAATAAAATTAGTACGTGGTTGGTACCTACCTACCTCAATAATATGTATCTTTGGAAGGAAAGTCTGAAAAAAAAAAATTCGAAAACTTTTTCATCAGTAATCAATCATATTTTTTATTCATCAGCAAATAAATAATTCTCATCTCATGGGCACAATATTAACATTAAAATAAAATATACATATACATAACTATTCAGTTCGAGAACTTCTCACATTCCAGCAGTTTTTGAGCTTCATTCTGTAACAATAAGAGACAAAATAATAGCGATATGCGTAAAAATATCATATGTAACCAGTTATGTGGAGAGAATTTCCTAAAGCAAAGTCCAATGTAGGCAGGTGGTGAGTATACTTAAAAAATCAATAATAATATATTGTGAAAGGTACCATGTGCCTATAAATATATATCTGCATAAACCTATTTAGCATAGGTATTTTCATGGGCTTTAGGCTGTAGATGACTGTATTTTCATGAGCTATATAGATGACTGTGATTAATAACATAGGTATGTCATTACAATATATAAGCTTTTGAAACAGAAAATCAAAAATCGCAAATATTCCCTAAAATGCAGGAGTATAATATACCGACCTGTATTATTTTATAAATGAGCATGATTGTGTCCATATTTTCCCTGCAATTGTTGTTCTCATTGGCATCCCCTTGGTTCATGGCCCTTTTCCCCCAGTTTGGCGAAAAATTCACTTGAGCCAAACTGAATCCCACAAACGCAACCATGAAAATAACAAAAACTGCCCTGGACATGTTTGAATAACTTCAACAGACTCTTTCAACTTCTACACTTGAGGATTTTCACCGGAATGTAGTTTGCGAAGTCCAACGGCAACTTTTATATACCGGTGGGGTGGGTTTTCCGAGTAATTGGCCGATTCCGAATATCCAATCCCCTATCCCCTCCAATCAGTTTAATTGAGGAAACCCTTCGGTAAATATAACAACAATATTGAGTTTGGAGCTTGTTGCGGACTTTACACGAATTGTCCATCTCCTACAAGGAATCACTAAAAACTTTCTAATTTCCTTAGTTGAGACAAGTTGACATAAGACTGATTGAATTTGCGTAATAAGAAACCTCAAGTTTGCGAGCAAATTATTCAAACTAATTTGAAATATTCCGAGCCGTTTATAGAAATTACGATGTAGGTACAACGAAAATAGGTATATAGTTGAATGGAACATATTGATGTACCGACTTTGTTTCTTATTTAATAAATATATATATATATATAACGAGGTCTCTCATTTAAGGTCCATGCACATTCACAAATTATTTGTGTGTATATATATTAGGTAATTATGATTGGATTCGTTCAATTATAATCGGATTTGGACCTCTAGATCTTTCTTATTCTTGATGGGTACTTTTATTTTCATCAGCATCCCGTTGGAGCCGAGATCAGGCGGACTGAAGTTTTCTCTCTCTCGATCGTTATGACGTTCGCGTGCAGACATTCAACTCTTCTTATTGGGTTGGAGAGAAAGATAACTTCAACTAATGAAATTTGAGTTCTATAAGGCAGGTATGGGTTGATTTAGAAGCTGATTTATTTGTTCTGATAGAAATTGATTGAATGCTTACACATCAGTGACGTTATTGGATAAGGTACGGAACGTATATATTGCGCATACAGATTGGATGCTGAATTAATGCATACAAAAACTCCCCACAAATGTATGGAAATATCGAATGAATGATTACTCATATGTACCTTCATATGGTGGCTACATCTTTTTTTGACCTCTTGTTTTTGAAAGCATTCTCAATGCTAACCAGATATATTTTACCTACCTAACAAAAATGTAGTGTTCTGAATGTAGAAAAAACAATTTTACAATATTTTCTTTTTTCGTCCCATTCATTACGCATATATATACTCAGATTTAATCCTCGGCATCATGGTGAGACGGTTGTAGAAATATTTTGGACCATCTAAAAGTTTTAATAATGTTCAAATGTGAATATATATAGACTTGATATATTCTAAACATTTTTTGTTACTTATCTGTTCATATCTATACACTATTAGTTATGTTTATATTTATATGTACTTACAAACCTATGTCAATGGGATGCAAAATCTTCTGACAATAAAGAATATTTGGAAGTTGGAAGACTACGTTGTCCATATTTGGCAATGAGTATCTGTATAATATTGCAGCTACATCTCTCATATGTTATAACATCTGTGAAAGTGATGGCATTGAAAAAGTGATACAGAAGTCGAGTTTTTCACATTAAAATGGAAAACTAATTTTCTGAGACTTCCTCGGAAATTATAACGGAGATATGTTGTTTGGTTGCTGGGAATTTTAGATCATTTTTCTAGAATATCGGTTATCAAAATGTACGCAAAGTTATCTGTACCTTATTTTATGTGATGGAATTTTATTACTATAATTACAATTGAACGTGCCTGGACTTCTATCAACCTTATGCTATGTTTCGTTCATGGTTTCGTTATTCATATACAGGGGGTGTAATTCAATTGATGGACAAAAATATAGGTTATGGTTTCTTAGCTCATTTTATGAGTACAAAATGTTCATATGAACATATATATATATTTTATATGCCCTAAACCTCTTGAATTTCAAGCTATATAGGGTGTTAAAATTTTATATTTCGTAAGTTTATGACGAATACTTGTCAAAATAAGACCGCAACATAATCGATATGAAATGTCATTATTTTCAATACAAAATAGGGCACTCGCCAAAATATATATACATATCCAAATTATTCAGGGAATATCTCCAGTACAAGGACGCCACTGGTAGAAATATTGAAAAATCTCCCGAATCAAAAAATGCCTATTGGTGCTTAGTAGGTGCATGTTAAATTTCATGAAAATATCAAGATGCATATCTAGAACAGTATTGTTGTATATGGTGAAGAAACAATTTTTTTTTAATTTCAACACCCTATATAGCTCGAAAGTAACAGGTTTAGGGCATAAGTTGACATGAACTTTTCTTCTTAAAATGAGCTCAGGAACCATATTCTATATTTTTAGCCATCAATTAAATTACACCCTGTTTAAGTATTTCAACTGTCTGTTGTTACACCATCCTCATAAACATCCTACTCAAACAGTTCAGTGGCTTTGATGTCCGACACTGGCAAATGGGCCAGGGGCCAGGAAACAAGAAGAGAGAAGTAGAAATAGAAACACTTTCAAGGTTATCAGGTTATGTTTTATGTTGACAATCAAAGAACTATTCAAAGTGGGTGTGCCGTTAATCAAGGAAATTATTAATTTTCAACAGTTTGTGGCTAGAAGAAGGCAAGAATTCATTGAATAAATAGATTCTTCACAACAGTTCAAAATGGTACTCTTGAATTCCTGTTGGTCTCCATGTATATGGACAGATGATTTAAGAAGTGGATGTACAGCCATAGCTTATTACACTGGGGCCATGAGCATTGTTTCGATGACATTCATAATATTCAACATGACAGGGGGCGACTCAACGCAACTTTACAACCCTCTGTTTGAAGCTGATGTTCGCTTGTGTAAGTATCTTTATCAGAATTATTTATATACTGGCTTACTTGTGTTTGTTCTAGCTATGCAAGTCATAGGGGGGCTGCTGATTGTGTACTTCTTGCAAATGATTGGGTCTTCTGTGCTGCTGGTTTATGGTATGCATAGGTTGGTCAGAGGTTTGATGGTGCCATGGATGGCTAGTTTTGCACTTGCCATTTTGTTCCAGCTTGTTTTTGGTTTGTGGCTTTTAGGAGGTTATTACATTTATGTGAGTTTCAATACATCATATCATAGACACTTAATATAAACAAACTATTTCTTGTTTCAGCTTGATACTGTTTTCTACACCCTTGTGATATGGAGTTGGATGGGCTATAATGTAAGTTAATCAATAACTGAAATTTGAAGGGGTATGTTCATTTTACACTTTTGTTTTTCCTCAGATATACCTCTGGCTGGTGGTCTTCTCAGAATTCAGGGAAATTGAAAAACTGCAGTCACCTAACATTGAACTCTTATGGCCTTAATTCTGCACATTCTTTATGCTATAACAATCCGTCCATGATATACTTTTATTACTTTTCAAAGACCATATATTCTTTATTTTGAGTATTTTTTCAATAATATAATTGATTGTTTTTCATATAGTACATTGTATTGTGTTTTATTTTTCAATATACCCCAAAAACTTTTGAATTTTTTCAAACACATTCCCATAGAACAATGTACAGATAATCAAGTGCTATTATTGCTGCTGAAACATATAACTGCTACTCACTGATGTAAGCATATTTGAGAAGTTTAATGATTGATAAAAACTTAGGAAAGGGTCTGAGTAGGTCAGAGATTAGAATAAACATTTTCATAAAATATTTTATTCCTGAAGAAGCAAAGATGCTTATAATGTACAATAAAACCAAGTGGCTGAAATATTGATATGTAATTAATAAAAATACAAATTGACCATATCAGTGCAATTGTATTATAAAATTGTTCATAAATAAATGAATATAAGTATATATGTATATATAAGATTAATGTTAGTGCCAATTAAAATAATAATCAATAAATATACAATAAAAAATCCAGCTCTATACAATACAACATTAGCAAAATATTCTGAAAATTTTACAACTTGGTGAGAAGACTAACTCTCATTTTCTTCTTCCAAAAATTCAACATGTGTGAAGGGGAAATATCCTGTTTTTCCATTAAGCTCCCCCTCCCATTGTCCATTAATATTTATCTTGGTTACATTTATTATGTCTCCAATTTCTAATTTTAAAGCTGTATCATCATATGCATTTGGAACTCTCACTTGCTTAACTCTGGCTTTGGCAGGTAATTTTCGCTAAAAAAAATGTATTAAATTGATGTAAAAACCAACATAAGTAGATCACATCTCAAGATTATCACTAGAAGCAATTTTTCATCTTGAAAGTGAACAAAATGAATGCTGCTTACTGCTGGTCTGAGAATTATTTTCAACAGCAGTAGAGATATGTGAAAAACTTTGTTCATACTCACTTGCATCTGATTTCTTTTTGCTGCATCTGTTTGTAATATGGTGGCATTGACAAAACCAGAACTTGTTCTCTGAAGATCTACTGGAGAATGACTTTCTTCAATCTATAAGTTTGAAAATTAATTATTTTTATTTGTATTACTACTGCACATGCTTAATATATGTGCAATGAAGATATATATGAAGTTTTTTCCCCAATATTCAATTTGATTTCACTTCATGGAAGAGAATAATAATAAATTGTTGATTATCACTTACTTTTTGAACATATGGAACAGGAATAGATCCAGTCTTACCATCTTTATTTCTAGCAGTCCACCACTGTTCTTCATCTTTGAACAATATTGTGAGAATATCACCCTTCTTGAAACTGAGGTCATCTTTTTCCTTCAAAAAGTTTAGTATTTGTGTAGAGTCATCACTATTATTCTTAAATCTTCAACTTACTTTGCCCTCAAAATCAAATTTGGCTACAACTTTTTCAACCTTCTTGTTGGCAGGTTTGATAAGAGGAGTAGTATCCAAATAATGTACTTTGTAGAAAGCAAGTAGCTCTGGTATTGTTTTGAAGAAATTATCTCCAATTTTGTATCTAGCTTGATCCTGGTGTTGTGTCTTGTTTATTATATAGTGACTTACTTTACTATCTTCCCTGAAAATTCGAAGGTTATGATATTCCTCATAGAAGTATATAGTACTGACTTACTTAACACATAACACAAAGTCTCCAGCACAAGTTTTACTGTCTCTCACTAAGAAAACACCACCTTCATGTTGAGCCATAAGTAAATCTGTTGCTTCATTTCTTCCCACAGCACCAAAATACCAGCTGAAATGATATTATTCATTGATTGCAAAATCAACTTTTCTAGGATATTACTAACCTATCCTTATCCTCATGATCAAAGGTCCCAGCCATCACTATAGCTATATTTTGATTATTTGTAGCTATAGAAAATTTTGCATGACTGCTACTAGGACTCACTTATGAATTAAGTTATAGAATACATTATATCACTGAACACATTTTAGAACAATACCAATTAGAGTACTCATGATATTCTTGTCACAAGTTAATTGTTCTTAATTAAAATACTTGGTTATGTGCTGTTTTCATCCTTTTAAAAGAAGACAAGAAGTAGACTTTTTACTCCGCTATTACCGTATATTGCATTCGAACCATTTGCTGGTCTTCCAACTGAATTGAATGGTTTGGTGTTTGGCAATATCATAAGATCCCTGCAATATCCAATACTGATAATTCGCACAGTAACCCTTCAATGAATTTAATTGAGCCAACAATATGGCGAACTTTGTATTTTTCCCTTTGAACTTGACTATTTTTGACTGCGGGCCGAAATCGAGAAAAACTTCAACTCTGTTCGTGCTCAACTGCTCACTGCTCAGTCTGGTTAATTCAGCAATCACAAATCATAAGTATTCACTATTCAGCACTTCAGAAGTCAGCAGTCAACAGGTCAGCACAGAGCACAACACTGAGAGACAGGTGAGAGACAGGCTATTCGGTCAGTACTGTCACAGATTAACAAACTACTGTCAGTGAATCCACTGACTCTGCTGAAAATCTGTTCCGAAAATTCCGAAATATAAAATCAAAAATACACCTGTAATTCGGAACGCGTTTTCTGTTTCCATCAGTGATCAGTAGCTCTTGATCAGCTGGTGAAATTTGAATATCATTATCAGCGTCAATTAATTTAATAACAGGCATTTTCCGATATTAAATATAATATTATTAATTTATTATTGCTAAGACAAGACTTTACGTTAGAAAAACCAATAACATTCCTTCATCCTCTAAAATAATGACAGTTACTTGAAGCCACATTACCTTTTGATAGTTATCAAATTTCAGCAGAATATAATGAGTCGAAATATTTGGAATGAATAGTATGTCTGCTCACAAGTATCTGTCACTTTCAGTGAATTTTTTTCGGTTTCCGAATGAAAAATCAGCAGATTCAGCTGTCAGTTGAATTCGGAATATAGCCAATGTCACCTTATGTCAGCGTCAGAACCGAGACTTGAGAGTCAATGAACTCAATATTGTTGAGAGTATCCAGATTTGTGGAAGATGACAAACTCTTCCAGGTTACGAATGTCAGTGTGATGTTGAATTGGAATCAGTTCTACTAACCTTGTGCATTCCTGAACATATCATTGGCAAGGTGATGATTCCGATACGTCATCTGGTCACAGTCTGGGGCCTGATTCTCGAATCTGTTGGAATTCGTTCCCATGGGAAAAACTCGATATTTCCCATGGAAATTTGAGATGATGTATTCTTGAAATATTGTATGGGAAACTATTCCTACACATTTCAAGGGAACTGCTTCCCATGGTAATACTCACGGGAACAACATGTTTCCCATAGGATACAATCATGAAATACGAAGTTATTTTCATTTTTGATGGGAACTAAACCTTAGTGAGAAATCAGAAAAACATATGTATTGCAAAACATGGCAAAAATAGATGAAAAAGATCATCTATAGAGGCTTCACAAAATTTGGAAGTGGCTGGAATCCTTGCTAGAAGACTGAGAAGAAGGTTTCTGCGTAGATGGGACCAATTGATAAGTGTTTGTCTACTGCACAATTTATTAAAGTTTTTCGTTTGTCCAAAGACATTACTAGAAAATTGAATTAGAATTTTTGTAAGTGAATTGGGGGTAACATTTCCCGTTCCTCGAGTCCTCAGAGGCCTCCATTATTTCAATTAAAAGTCTTGGCTGCTCTTTGCTAATACTAACACCACGTGGGTTTTTAATTGTGTTTGTATCCATATCCATTTCGATCAGAAGAAATAAAGTAAATATACAATACACAATAATCTCACAGTCGCAAAATTATATTATTCTATAACCTCAAAATTAGTCAAAATCAAAATGTCAACATTTCATTTCAATCATCCACTAGTTACATACGGCACTTTTTCAATACCCTGGGAAAAACGATTCCATCTGGTTCAAGAATAGGTGTCATGACAAATTATCATTTCCTATGAGAACTGAAAGCATTGGATAATTCTCCTATAGGATCGAATTCCTACAGATTCGAGAATCGGGCCCCTGGTCAAAGAGGGGTGACTAACCTACTATTCTTTGGTCTGGTCACCGAACATGTATGTTCGGTGGTCTGGTGGGCACATTTGCATTTGAACCAGTTACCAGTTTATCAGAGCATTCAAGGTCATTTTTGTTATTGTTTGTTATTCTGTTCATTTATTTGATATTTCATGTAATTCATTCCACAAATTACTTTGATTTTCTTTTCATGATTTTCTTGAGTACAGGACAAGAATTATTTTATGTTCATTCCTTGAAATTGAATTCAAGTTTAAGGAGATATCAATGATTATTCACTGTGAGCTGAACATATCCTTTGTATTTCCAATTGTATCTTGGAAATATAGATTCATAATTTTGCTGCTTCTATGTTTTCATCAAACTGTAGTGCATTGGTAAATACCTAATATAGTCTGAATTTTTTGTGTTTTTGTATTGATTTTCCTGTAGGTTTTTAAAGTTCATATTTTTATTCCACAACTACCTCAAACAACAAGAGGTATATCTATCTACCTATTACCTACCATGTAAATAACTAGTTTATTCCTACATAAATAAAAGTCCTGGATTCCAAATTCATTGATAATTCTACATGTTCATGAAGGTATCTTCACTTGTAATGGGGAGGAGAGAAACCACCATATATGAGCACTGATGGGAGAAGTAAACTGGTATTAGATCCTTCTCTTAGTACTTCTTTGGATAGACACAAGTAGGTCTTTGAACAAAATATTAATTCATTATAATGCATTGTACTTATACAGTGAAAAACATGTGTTGTCAATGTGTAGATTCATTTTCAAAAATTATTAATCAATTAAAATTCAGTTCCAGAACATAAAATACAGATAGATATTTTTATTCAGATGAATTCAGTGGAGAATTCAGTATAACAAAATGATACCAAGAAATAATTATCTATCTATAATCACATAACAAAAAGTTTTATGTTGTGGAACTCCAGATTACTCAGATTTCATCAAAATGGTGAAAAAAAAAAAAAAACTAATTTCACAAGATATAGATGAACACCAAATCTAGGATATCACCTACCTAAACTTGATGCAGGTAAGTATATTGTATATTGTCCTTTTGAAAATGAGTACACTTAATGTAGATACAAAAATCACACACATATAGGATCCTGACAATTTGCTATTATTGTTGCAGTGGAGCACCATTCATGAAGCAGGTACCTGTGAGAGTTGCATGTTTTCAATATATCTGTGGTGCTATAAAAAATCCTCCAAGATGCTAGAAGTAATCTTGCTGAGGTTGGACCATTGATGATATCTACTATAAATCCACGGTAACCTCAGGAGCTGTTTTGGAGGATAATTCAAAATTTGCAAACATTATTCTACACATGACAAAATTGGAATTTTTGTGAGTTCAAACTTCTGTGAGTTGCAATGTTTCTTTCTTCATATTGGCTTAAAAAGGGCTTCCCTGGGGCTGCAGCAATAAGCATATTGTGGTCATATGAAATATCTCCTGGTTTTAGTATGGAATGAATGATACCTAACCCACCATGCGTCGACCTCCTTTGCAGAGAGGGTTTATAAACGCCGAGTTGATACTCTCCCCTCGTAAGGGTACCTGCCGTGTTTCCATAGAGACATATAGGTGAATATCTGTCTATCTGTTTGCTTGAGAATCCGGAAAGGAATTCAATATATCGCCTTCAGTACGAACATAAGAATCAGAATTCTTAAAAGTATACTCTGGTCAGTTCTCTTTGCGGATTTTCTATCAGGTCCGTCTTGACTGGATGGTTTTCTCCAATTTATTGACAAGTATCGAACACTTTGCTTTCGGATCTGCAACTAAACATCACATATCAGAAAGTCCATGAGAATTGAAACTGATGTTGAATCTGAAACATACCTGAATTATTATTATATATTGGAAACATTTTTCCAACAACCGTAACTGGATTGCTACATATTCGCTCTCATTCCGAAAAGTGGTTTTCCCAGTAAACATCTTCCACATTTTCAATTTTGTGGGGTATAATAAGGAACATGAATGCCAAACAATGTGCTGCTCGGATCTAAAACTAGGCATCAATTTGAAATCTACGAAGTCTGAATATTATTTTCAAAATTCGTAACTAAAACGCGATATATTTTTATGATTATTCATCAACTCTCTCAATGCAGACGAGGTAGGCAGATAAACAACGATTTTCTCTGCAATGAAAAACACTGTATATACCTAACCCACCATGCGTCGACCTCCTTTGCAGAGAGGGTTTATAAACGCCGAGTTGATACTCTCCCCTCGTAAGGGTACCTGTCGTGTGTCCATAGAGACATAAAGGTGAATATCTGTCTATCTGTTTGCTTGAGAATCTGGAAAAGAATTCAATATATCGCCTTCCGTACGAACATAGGGATCAGAATTCTCAAAAGTATACTCTGGTCAGTTCTCTTCGCGGATTTTCTATTCGGCCCGTCTTGACTGGATGGTTTCCTCCAATTTATTGTCAAGTATCAAATACTTTGCTTTTTGGATCTGCAACTAAACATCACATATCAGAAAGTCCATGCGAGAATTGAAACTGATGTTGAATCTGAAACATACCTGAATAATCTTTCCAACAACCTTAACTGGATTGCTACTTATTCGCTCTCATTCCGAATAGTGGTTTTCCCAGTGAACATATTCCACATTTTCAAATTTGTGGGTTATAATAAGGAACATGAATGCCAAACAATGTGCTGCTCGGATCTAAAACTAAGCATCAATTTGAAATCTACGAAGTCTGAATATTATTTTCAAAATTCGTAACTGAAACGCGATATATTTTTATGATTATTCATCAACTCTCTCAATGCAAACGAGGTAGGCAGATAAACAACGATTTTCTCTGCAATGAAAAACACTGTATATACCTAACCCACCATGCGTCGACCTCCTTTGCAGAGAGGGTTTATAAACGCCGAGTTGATACTCTCCCCTCGTAAGGGTACCTGTCGTGTTTCCATAGAGACATAAAGGTGAATATCTGTCTATCTGTTTGCTTGAGAATCTGAAAAAGAATTCAATATATCGCCTTCCGTACGAACATAAGGATCAGAATTCTCAAAAGTATACTCTGGGCAGTTCTCTTTGCGGTTCTCTATTCGGTCCGTCTTGACTGGATGGTTTTTCCTCCAATTTATTGTCAAGTATCAAATACTTTGCTTTCTGGATCTGCAACTAAACATCACATATCGAATTAAAACTGATGTTGAATCTGAAACATACCTGAATAATCTTTCCAACAACCTTAACTGGATTGCTACTTATTCGCTCTCATTCCGAATAGTGGTTTTCC